CTCTCTCTCTCTCTCTCTCTCTCTCTCTCTCTCTCTCTCTCTCTCTCTCTCTCTCTCTCTCTCTCTCTTTTTTGCACACTCGAATGTTGTTTTCTGATGAAGTCGAACTGCAATTGAGCAGCACCATGAAATGAGGGTTGGGAGTTTCGTATGGGATAGGATTCAAAGTGGGTCTTGGGAGATGGGACTGGGAATAAGGAAGTCCGTAGGCACAGGCTTGCTCCCAGCAGCATTCGGTGTCCTGGCACGTTAGAAGGTAATGAAGCAGGTCCTTCATCACATCTTCATTGCACATAAGGCATCTGCCTTATCCTGTTCAAGTTATGTGACGAACCTGGTCAGCAATCTTGTATTTGTTTGTGTTGATGTTAGGATGTATGGCAGCACCATTTGGTGTTATGGGGACCAGCAATCTTGTTGCAGCACAGTACAGTCTGGCATGAGGACGCGATCTAGATCCTGTTTCTTTTTTTTTTTTTTTTTGTCTTTTTTTCTCAGGCGGTCATGCTGTTGGCAGAAGTGTTAGGTGGCCACGCGCGTTCAAGGTATATAGCTGGCTCGCCGATTTCTACAATTCACATTGAGTATTGCATTTCGCTGCGCTCTTCTTCGTTGCAAGGGCCAGAATCTGTTCCATCTTTCTTTGAGTTTTACGTTGTGCATATAACAGTGCAAGGAAAAAAAAAAAAAAAAAAAACAGTGCAAGCTTTATGCTACCCAGTTTCTCTCTTTGTGTTTGTGCTGAAAGCCTTATGAAGTTATGAATGTATTTTGTATCCAAAACGTTCGACGCAAGGGAAGAAGATAAATGCCATGCGGAAGTGCTTAAAAAGACGGCTACCATCTTCCTCCGAACACAGTGCACCCTGATCACGAAAATGCATACAGGTTCTCTCTCTGGCGTCATGCAGGCAGTACGAGGGTGCGTTGTGTCAGGGTGGGGAAACGGTATCCTTGCCACAAGTTGCCACACCGGTGTATTTTTCCGAGCGTGGAGCACCGAACCCGTAAGTTATGGGTCTGTTGATAGCAATAGGGGACCAAAATATGGGTATTTTGGCCACTAGAATGTCTTTTTCGCCCATCCTTTCTGTTGGCTGATTTGTTTTTCCTTCCTTTTTATTTTATATTCTTATTAAAAAGGCAACGGCCTTGAGATCTAGGCTACTAGAGTGGCCCAGGATTTTTATTTTTATATTTCAAATTTGGTAAAGAATTGGTCCCCAAAAAAAATTAAAAAAATTGTAATTTTATTATTTTATTTTATATTTCAAATTTGGTAAAGAATTTCAATGTGACCCTGAGGCAAAAGAAGCTCAGTTTATTTTTCTGCATAACATTTTTTTTTTCAGAATTTTATTTATTTTTCTTCTGGGACGGTCTATGGTCCTTGCACGGCCGGGAAGCCCGGGCTAACAAGCTGACCCGGGCAGCCCGGCTGGTAGTCTAGCCTTAGATATCATAATCGTGCTGACCGGCCCTAGATAGTTCGGAATTTATTCTTTTAGTCCTTCGGTCTCAGTGGAGTTTGAGCTCAGGTCTGTATTTCAACCGTATAGGGGTGTGACAACTGAGCTTGCCCAGTTGGCTTTTCTAAATATTTTTCCCAGAAAGATCACCACTCAGTATGTCCCTGACACTCCCTGTTTGTTTCTTTCTTCCAGAACTTTTTGCCAACAATTCTGAGCATGATAAAATTCCAAACTGGGTGCACTGCCTCCAAGTGCCCTTGCAGTTGTACTGCCGGTGACCAGCACGTATACTGCCGTGCCCTTTCGGATGCATTGGGGCCAGTGGTGGTTTTGATAAAGGGAATGAAGTTAAATGAACTGGTTAGGAGGGTCAACCTACCATACTGATCTTTCTGCATCTGCAGGAGTGTCTCGAAGCTCGCCAAGTAATGTCGATGTGGCCGGGTTGTTCCATTGGCAAGACTCCGACCATTACAGTGTGTGTTGGGTTTGCTGCATCCTTCGCATGTTTGTGTGCGAGCTCCTAAGGAAAGAATGAGCTCTCCGGTGCATTTGTGTGAGCTGTGGGTTATGGGCCCACCATTCTTTCTCTTTTTTTTTTTCTTTTTTTTTTTTCTTTTTTTTTTTTTTTTTTTTTTTTTTAAGGGGAAATGACGCCGGAGTCACAAAAATGAGTTTTAATTGCACTATGGGCCAAGGTACAGTTTTGAATCGCAGTTCGGGCAATGTATACAAGCAAGCTTTCTGGCCAGGTAGGGTGGCCGAAGTGCAATTGCAAACTGTATCTTTGTTTTTTGGGTGTGAACTTCATGCACCTGGGAGCCTGTTTGACGGGGTGATACGAGCATCCCCCTTCAGCAGGTCGCGATTTTTAAGAGTCCATCTATTGGTGGGGAGCAGCACCTGCTTGAAATCGGGTCCAGCGTCCCTTAAATACATCTCAAAAGTTTTGTATAAGCTGTGTAACCATATGTGTGCAGTGCAAACACTGACTGTGTT